TAAAATAGCAGGGTAGACTGAACTCTCTAGTTTGGGCAGCAATCATTTTAAGAGAAGGAAAACTGAATTTGAAATGAGAAGGCAGCAGGAAACTGATCTATCCCAAGAATGCATGATAATTCACAGATAAGAAAAGGAATCTGCGGAGAGTCATGATCACCCACATTTATTAAAATAAAAATGTAATCAGGAACAAGATTGCAATATGTGATTGCAAAAAATGTAAATTCTTGAATTAATGTCATAATCAAGGTTTTTGCTTTAAATTTACTTTCATCTTCATTTTTCTTTTTAGCTAAATATAAAGTGACATTCAGCTGATATGACTTTTTGTTGACAAATTTTAATGCATATGAATAAGTTTTATATCACACTGAATTGTAAATAATGGTTGTGCAGTGTGAGAAGCAACATTTTACCTGCCTTTTTTTTTAATAAATTTAAAGTTTTATTTTTGTTTGTTTCATCCCAAACAAAGCAATAAAGCCACTAAGATGCCAGTGGTTACTGAGAGTGAAAGAGAATGATAAAATCTTTAGAGAGGACAATAAAAATACAAGCTTCAAGAAGACAAAAGTTGACAGCTGAAATTGCATTTAAATCTTTTACAATTGTAGGTGGCAGGGAACCAAAAAAACAGAAGAGTTCCAGGGATGAAAAAAGAAACTATTAGAAAAGAACTTCTGGTTATATCTAACTATTTCAACTATGAGACATAGTTGTCAATCTAGTAGTATGCATAAAATCATGTGGTTGAGGTACCAATGAGGAAAGATTTGGTGCCGTTAAATTTTGTTTAATGTCAGGTCAATCCTGCTGGTCATTTTACAACAACCAGGTGAATTATATATATATATATATATATATATATATATATATATATATATATATATGTGATTTTCAAGCACAGTTTAGATGTGGCACAAGGCTGAAATTATGGGGGCATCCAGTGAGGATCGAACTCATTACTTAGTCATAATTGTTCTAGCCAGACATACTTGCTAACCATTACACTGCCTCAAGGTGCCATATATATATATATATATATATATATATATATATTTTTTTTTTTTTTTTTTTCAGTTGAACAGGTTTAGTTTGGTAGCTACAATTTGTTTTAAATAGATTTTTTAAACAGTCAATTTGAACTGTCTAAACAAGTCCTCAAATATGAGGACTCACTAGAATGATTGCAATGAAAATATTTATAGAAAAGACAGAGAGAAGCCATGCCATGTTGGTGGGAAAGTGACTGAAGATGAGATACCAAATCAGGACCCTTCTTTGGATTTTGTGGAGAATCTCTAGATACAACTTTTGAATGATTGCTGTGTGTTGACATGTCAAAAAGAGGCTAAAAGTTCCCTGTTCTGGCCTAAAGAAACTGCAGGATAAATACATACAAACAACTCCATTAGATATTTTACTTTTATAGCCCTATTTTACCCATTACAATTAGTGATATAGATATGTTTAAAAGGCACAAATAAAAGCCATACTGTGTGCTTGACACACAATTTATTCTCCACACCTCAATTTCCTATTCTGTACATATATGCAGAGAATATGAGAGAAAATGTGCAAATAGTTATTTTTTTTTCTTTGTTTTTTTTTTTTTATTTATTTATATCAGTTAACCTAGTCACATGTTATAATTTCAGCTAATTTTTTTTCCTCTCACTTACTGTTTAAAGCATCAAGGTTTTTTTTTCATATAGAAAGAATGCCAACAATCTTGCACAGAAAGAGAAACATAAATTGTAATGTAAATGAAAAAAAATCTATGTGTGAGTAGCCTAACAGTTTTACAACACAGAAAATGGAACCATAATGCCAAGTTCAAATACTGACTGATTCAGTTTCATTCACTTTACACTATTACCCTTGAAAAAGACTGGATTGAGTGATTGATTTTGTTTTTTATGGCTTATCAACCTTTTTGCAGGTTATTTAAAGCCAAAAATTATTTTTAGATTGTAAGAATTTGTGGTGATAAGATACAAGTCCTATGGTAGAGAAGAGGTTGATTCATACCTTCCCCATGGGTATTTGAGCATCAGTGAATATAACAAACCTGACTGGAATTTCCAATGCCAAGCTGTTATTTATTAAACCCCTGCATATCCATGCTTATAGCACCTGGTATTCTCAAACAGACACCTATATAGGTAATGACCATGATAGATGTTGCTTAACTTTGGTGATTGTATGAGAACTGGTGTTTCAATATAATATGGCTGTAAGTCAAAAAAAAAAAAAAAAAAAAAGAAAAAAGGCAGCTATCCACCTCCCATTATTTATGTGGTAAATAGCAGGGCAGACCGAGATCTTTAGCTTTGGTTTGGAAACCAGTTCAGGAAAAGGAATATTCTGTATTCAAAACCAGTCTGATGAGGGATGGGCTGTCAGTATAAACTGCTCTAGATACACCCACTGTTGTTACAGCTGCAGTATGTTTGTCCTAAAAAATTTTGAGAGATGATCATGATTGTAAATGAAACATTTTTTTAAAAATTTATTTTTATTATAAATTTAAAAAATAGGAGTTCCTCTGATATGACAATGCAACCACAGTACTTATCAGTAAATCTAACCACATTATTCACAATTAAATACTAATATTGCTTTCTGATTAGTCAGTTAATAGCTTTGAAAGAGAGAAAACATTTTTTTAATTTGCTTTATCACAAAAGAGTAAAAATAAATCTTATTTTATTTAACTGTGTAACAAAGTTAAATGAGTGTGTTGTTACTTTTATGCTTAAATAGTACCTAGGTCCATGCTCATCTACAATAGAAAATGTATTTTAAAGGCAAATTCATCAGCTAAAAATTTGCTTTTTTCCTTGGCAGTTATTATTTAAAATACTTCACAACTTCACACACAGTTGGCTGCATTTTCAACTCAACATGTTTATCTCTACAATATTATTAATAAAGCCTTCTAATTTCTAAGAGAAGAAATAGGTTAAACTTTAATTCTAATTGTAGTATAGTTTCTACATAATTTATATAGTAAATAATTTATTCCTTTAAGCACAGATATCACCATATCTCATATCCAGAAATAAAAAGGAGGCTAAATTTGGTATCATTTAAAAGAAAAAAAGAACAATTTTCTTCTACATAAAATCAACTTGTAATACTTGCTTTTCAATGTTTTTTGTGATATCAGTTTAATTGCATTAACATCACATTCAGATTTTTAAAAAATTTGGTCAGATCTTCAGGAATTTGAGAAGTCAATGTCAGCTGAATTTCTCTTTATATTTAGCTAAGTCCAATAAAGATGAAAATAAATCTAAAGGCAAAAACTTGGACTATGACACTAATTCAGGAATTTACATTTTCAAAATTACTCATTAGAATCTTGTTCCTGATTTTATTTTTTTTTAAATATGTTTTTTAATTCAAGGAAAGTTGGCTCCCTGTGCCACGCCAGGAAATTTTTCTTCTTGAAGTCGATCTTTCAAATCTACAGATCAACCATTTGCCCTTGCATCGAGAATTGCTGCCATATATGGTCTGGTGTCCCTTATGTTTGTCTCAAGGTTTTTGATCCAGAGATGTAATTGGCCCTGATCTGGCATCTCATCTACAGTCGCTCTCTCACAGACGTGCTGTTGCCTCCCTCTGTCGTTTTTTACAAATACTTTCATGGTAACTGCTCTGTGGAGCTGTTTTCGCTGGTTCCCAGACTTCATGAATTTAAGTGTTCTACTAGGCTGGCATCTCACTCACACCCTTTCACTGTCGAAACTGTAAAATGTAGCCATCTCTTCTACTCCAATAGCTTCATGTCTTGCACCTCTCGCCTGTGGAACTCCCTTCCCTCCTCCTGTTTCCCTGATAGCTATAATCTCCAACTATTCAAATGTAATGTCAATTAACAGCTCTAGATGCCCTGATCTTTCCCTATCCTTCTTTTCATCCTTTCCTCTATCACTCCTATTTGCTCTAGCTCCAACTCTCTGTAACCCCTTGCGTGCTAGTGTCTTCCCACCTTGCTTAGGGGGGAAACACTTAAGAGAAAAAAAAAAAAAAATAAATAAATGTAGGCAATCATGGCTTTCCACAGATTCCTTTTTTATTATCTGGGAATTACCATGACATCTTGGGAAAGATAGTAGAGTGGTTTCTGGTTGACTTCTCTATGGAGCTGTCTTTCTCCTTTCTGAACATAGGTGTCGTGACTCTCCACAGATGCCTTTTTTATTATCTATTACAATATCTGCACATATGACTTTAAAAGAAAAATATTTTCATTGTTACAATATGGAAAGTGCTAAAAAAGTTCAAAGTGCTTCTAAAACCCAAGTCTTTGTAGCACTCAGGTTCTTTCTGATTACCCCATATGTAAAAAATAAAGTGTGTGTGTATGTATATATATATATATATATATATATATATATATATAAATTTTATACATATAGGTGATCTTGACTATTTAGATTCCTTTTTTTTTTTTTAATTACCTCTGAATTACCATGTATTCTTGGCCTTCTCTTAAAATGATTGCCATCTAAAGCAAGAAAGCTTGGTCTACTCTGCTATTTTATCTATGGTGGGGATGATGAGAGGCAGAATCATGCAAATGCAAATGCTCCAGATTTGACCAGAATTTGAACTCAGCTTACTGATGATTTCACTTAATACTGTTTAATTAAAAGACAGAGCTTCTACTTGAATATGAATATCCATCAAAAATAACATTTAAACAAGATAAATTAAAAATAACAATATATTGGATTTAATCCATTTCCTATATATATATATATATATATATATATATATATATATATCTATCAATTCTAAATTTTAATTCTTTTATACAATTTTTCCCCATTTCAGAAATAAGATTTCAAAAGTGATTTTAAGAATTTACACCATTACTAAAGCAAACATCCTTTTTGCAAAATTATCTCTAATCAGAAATAAGTTATGAATTAGTATGTCAGTAAAGCTAGAAATGCTAGAAAACAAAAATAATAATTTCTTACCTCACACCGGGTGGCAAGTTTGGTCATCTCAAGGTCTGCACTATTCAGCTGTTCTCTGTTTTCAGTAGCCTCCCCTTGCAGTTCTGTGAACCGCAGTTGCAATTCATTGTACTCAGACTTCACACGTTTGTAGTCCGTCAGCAGTTCATGATGTTCTTTTTCCAGACGGCTATGGGCAGACTGCAGGCTATCAAATTTGTTCCTCAGCTGGTTATATTCCATCTGCAAATTGCTGAGAGACTTGGACTCCACTTTCAACTGCTCTCTTTCTTTCTCCAGCATCTCTTGCAGTTTGTTCACATCATTCTTATCGCGAAGCAAAATAGACAATTGGTCTTGTAGGTCCTTCATCTCGTTGCGTGTCAACTTATGGATTGATTTCTGGGAGCCGTGTTCTAAGAGAAGGGACTCGTACTCTGTTGTCAGATCGTCATGTAACTTCTGCAAGGTCTCGTGATCAGAGACAAGACCGTCAAAACGACTTTGCAGTTCGTCAATCTTTTGCAGTTGTCGCTCGTTCTCTATTTCTAAGTTGTTCAGCTGAGCCTGAAGGTTTGAGTTTTGAGTTAGTAATGAACTGCACTGAGTCTGCAGGGTTTTGTTTTCCACTTGAAATTTGGCTTGTTGCGAGTGGAGGGAGTTGTTTTGTTCATGTAAGGTATTAAGTTGAAGGTGACGCTTTTGGTTATCCTCAGTTGATTTTTCGAGCTGGTCATTTGCAATCTGCAACTGACCTTGTAAGTTTTTGTTCTCAGCAATCAAAGTCGCATTCTGGAGTTAAGCAGAAAAGAAAACAATGATTAAATCAAATTTTATTTATATTTTTATTTTAACGAGAAAAACAAAGAGAAAGCTTTACATGAACACACATACAAGACATGAGTAGCACAATGGTTATTATTAAAGAAAGTGGAGTTTGTGAAAAGATTTCAAATTTCAGTCAATTCCATTTCATTCACCTCTAGAAAAATATGATTTTTTTTTTTTTTTACACAGCTTTTCAACCCTTTTGGAGGTTATTTAAAGCCAAAACTTGTTTTGTATTGTAAAAATAATTTTTTTTGTGAGTGAACATTACATTAACAATTTTTTGGAGATAACTGATTTTTCCAGATACATGCCCTACTATTTACCCCATAGATGTGGAGAGAAATGATGGATTTATACCTTTCCCAAGGGTACTTGCACATAAGTGAACATAACGAACCCAATTGAAATCCAAACTTCCCTCTGATTTCTCATATCAAGCCACTATCTATTACACCACCTACAGATCCAGAATAGACATGAATCTTCCTTTAGCTATGGGTTAAATGACAAGACCAACTGAGTTCTCTTGCTTTGGATAGCAGCTAGTATAAAAGGTAAACTGAATCAAAACTATATCTTTCCATGAAGTGTTACATTTAAATACAAATAATGTCCATAGGTATTGACATCAATACTTGTGCCATGTCCTTTCAGGACGTAGGCAATCATGGCTCTCCACCTCCCTCTATCCCTTGCAGCTCTCAGCAAGCTCCTTCCCTCTACCTCTCCCCCAGACCACGTTCTGTCATCCACCTGCTCAAGCTCATCAAGTATGTCACACACTGCTTTCCCTTGTTTCTATTTGACTTGTGAGTATCAGATTCTCCAGGCTCTCATTATGTGTCCCAGAAACTTCAGCTGCCTCTTTCTGATGTTAAGTATAAGCCTTCTCCTTGTTTGTAACCTAAGACCTCATCGTTGCTCACATGCTCGGTCCATGACATCTTTAGCATCCTTCTGTAGAACCACATCTGTCACCTCGAGTCATCTTTGAGAAGATCATCCAACATTCATTGCCATAAAAAAGAACAGATGTCACGTAAAAGCTTAGTATTCTTTTCTTAATTACCAAAGAAATCCTGCTATCTCGTAATACTCTGCTCAGCTTTTGGAATGTGTCCTTGGACATCCCAATACATCTATGGATCTCAGTGTTGCACTTACCGTCCTCTGTCAAGATGCTTCCCAGATATTTAAACTTCTGTGTCTGCTGACATCAATACAAAGAGGTTAAATGCCATGACAATAAAACATGAGGTTTGAAGACTTTGTGGGATGCAGTGCACCATTTCTGTTGTTATTAGTCATTATATGTGTGGCTTGTTCTACACAAGCCTTCACCACTAAAATCAAATCATCTCTGTATCTGGCAGTTCAGTTCTAATATTGAACTCTTATACATCAAAATCAATGAAAGAGTTCATCCCAGATGCCCCCGCACCCCAACACAGATATCACTAAATCCACCACCTAATGATGATTTTAAAAAAAATAAAATAAAATAAATAAACATTTTTCAAGAGTTTTTTTCCCTTGCCAATGCACTTAATTTGGTGTATATTAATCATAGAATTGAACACCATGCATTCAGATCAAAATTCAACTAATAACTATGTATTAGGCTTTGGACTTATTGAGACAGCTCATGATTTTTCATTATTAAAGAATTAGTTTCTAAAATCTGTTTACCAAACTGTAGAGTAAATTGGTCATGGTTAAAGGTAATTGGCAGAAATGCCCAACAAGCAGAATTGACAAAGTTTGTAATAAACAGTAAAAAGAGAAAGAAAAGGGCAAAATAATACTGAGCAAAGAATATATATATATATAGAATCAGCGAAGCGCTTGATAACATATGTGATAATAAGTAGAGCATCAACAGTGGACTTAGAAGATCAAAAACTATAGGCTTCTTATATATATATATATATATATATATATATCTCCAAGACAAAAGTAGGTAAAACAACAGTAAAAAGTAGGTAAAGCAAAAAAGTTCACAAACTAAGGATGGTATTAACACACAAAAGGGATACAGACAAGTGATCATGAGGTTCTGACTTCAAAACAAGAAAGAACAGAAATATAGTGGATGAGACTGAGAAGTGGCATATTTTACTGGCTAGAAAGAAATCCCAGCATGCATTTGTATGATTTATCTATAAATTTGGGGAGAGGGATGTTTTTGAAGTCATTCCAATCAAGACAGCACAAACAATAATCAAATTAACAAATCTAAGTATTTTGGCCAATTTTTTCTCTTTTAATTAAAAAAAACAACAAAAACAAAGCCAGCCTTAAGTCATTTATGTACTTGATGCATACAAAATAAACAAGATGTTAAATGGTGATAGAAACTTATCCAGTTAGAGTATTTTACATAAGTTTACTTTTATACTTTACATAAGTGTTTCTTATACAAGAATCAAATTGTTTTAGTAGATAAGGATTGCCTATCATCCAGTTCACACTTCTACCCAGTCTTTTGTACAGGAGTAGAGGTTTATTGTTTCTATTGTATAGGGTTGGGTTTCTAGTTCCTTCTAAAGTTTATGTCTAATGTTTCCACCTAAACTCTGAAATTTTATTTACTATTTATTTTATGAATGTCTTTCATTAGTTTCTAATAAAAATCTTATCTATTAAATACAAAAAACAAATTGATTTTTTTTTCTCAAACTAAATAAGAATTCACTTAAAAATTAAAAAGACAAAGTTTTAACAATCTAGTATGTAATTTAAAAATAAATGACAAATTAGGATTGTTTTATGAATTTAGATGCAAAATAACCAATAACTGAATAGGTTCAATTTTATCAATATATATGCACATGAAGAAAAATACTTACATCTCTTTCAACTTCAATCACTTTGTCTTTTATATTCAAAATTTCTTGGGCAGGATTAGAGATGCGAACAGAAGTTGAACTGCTTCTAGTAGAGAAATTAACAAATTACATTAGATATTTAATAAGAGAATTAAAAAAAAAAAGAAAACAAAATTGATAGAAATCCAAATTTAAAACAATTTGTTTTAGTTTTAAATCCACATTCAGGAAGTCATTTTTTTCTTTTTGGTGGGGGAGATGGTTGATCCCAAAAACATATTTAAAAGCTACTTTTCAAGAATTATGGATAAATTTTACATCAATTAAAAAAAAAAAAAAAAAAAAAAAAAAGAATAAAACAATATTTATAAATAAAATATCAGAGACCCACAACAATTAAATTAATTATTTTCTGGCCTTGTTAGTAA